GCTGCATTTTCATGTACATTAAACCTTCAGCCAAAGACAGAGTATCCTTGAGCAAGGGTGTAGCTTTGCTAAATACTTCAGTAGCTCCCATGTTGAACCCCTTTATTTACAGTCTAAGGAATCAACAAGTCAAGCAAGCCTTTAGGGACATGTCAAGGAAGATTGTCATTTTTATAAGCAAATGACAATATGTCATGTCTTGAATCACTGGCACATATAAGGGAAATTTAATATTGATATGTCTTTTTTGTAGCTTGTTGAAATCATAAGGGCCTCCCTTTAATTTCTTTTTATGCACTTTTTTCTAATAGTCCACAGAGATATTTGTATTTCTCATTCAATTTAACATAGTTCTTTTATACTTTTCTATTCCTTTTATTTCCATATATTTTTGTTAATCACAATTCTCCAATAAAAATAATTTTGAAATTAGAGATGTCTTTTTTTAAATCATTTTACTGGGGGCTCATACAACTCATATCACAATCCATATCAATTTCATAAACAATTTGGAAAACAGTTTCACATGAGCACACAGAATAAAGAGTTCTGGAATTCCTATTCTTATCAATACTCACCACAGTACCTTATGATTCACAGTGTCAAATGCTTTTGCATAGTTGATAAAACACAAGTAAGCATTTATTTGGATTCTCTTTCATTCAAGATTCATCTCATGTCAGTAAATCTTTTCTGAATCCAGCTAGATTTTCTAGCAGCTCCCTCTCAATGTACTGTTGCCACTTCTTTAATTTCTTCTGTAAAATTTTACTTGCAAGTGCTCGTATTGTTATGGGTTGATAATTTTCACATTCTGTTTGATACCCTTCTCTGGAAGGGATACAATTAGGGATCCCTTTGAGCTATTTGGCCAGCTAGTTGTTTGCATCAAGTGCCTCCAGTGTTTCATCAGCTTATTGAAACTTTTCATTTGATATTCCATCAATTTCTGAAGCTTTGTTTACACTAATGCTGTCAGTGGAACTTTGATTTCTTTTGTAGAATCCATGCTTCTTTAGCAAACGTTACTCTGGAAATAGCTGACTACCAACCACTTATTTTGTGTGCAGTGACCCCATGTGTTCTTTCCCTCATATTTTGATGATTCCTACATCAATTGATATTTTTGCCCACATAATCCTGCAATATTTCAACTCGAGGTTTGAATTTTCTTCTGTTCTCAGCTAGATATATGCTTAGCATGTTCTTTGTTTTCTAACTTCATCTCTTTACTCATTTTACTATAATACTGTGGCTACTTGTGCTACCCTTTGAAATGAACTCTTCCACTCTTTTGCTTCATCATTGCTTCCATTTGATGTAGCTACTCTGTACTCAAGAACTTGTGTCGGAGTAACTTCTGACTCCCACTTGCAACTTCCCCTTTTTTGGTTTCTTCTTAATGACACTTTACTTTTTTCATGTATGATGTTTCTGACACCATTAACAAGCTTTCAGGTCTCCTATCATTTGCGTTCATTATGTCAAATGAGTTCTTGAGATATTCACAACATTCAGGATGACTATACTTAAGGTTCTATTCAGGATCGTGTGGACTTGTTTTAATTCACTTCAACTGCCATCCCAAGTTGTATCTGAGCAATTGAAGTTCTGTTCTATCGCGTGCTCCTGTCCTCTTTTCATCCCTAATAGTGATCTTATCCATCTTCTTTTCCACAGAGGTAGTCCATTTGATTCCTGTGTTTATGTCTGGTGAACTCTATGTGCACAATTTCCATTTATATTGTTGTATAAAAGGTATTTAAAATGAAATCTTGTTTTCCTGACAGCTTTATTCATATCACCACCATTTCCCCCCTACTGTTTTTTCCTCTCTATTTCCAGGTTTTTCATTACAATCACCAACAATTATCAATGCACTTTGATTGCATGTTTGAAGAAGTGTAAGTAGAATTCTTGTTTCTGCACCAGTAGATATTTTGGATAGTGAATAGATTGATATGTTTGTATTAATTGTACTCCCTTATAGTTATAGACATTATCCTATCACAAACAGCATGTGCTTCAAGATAGATCTTGAAATGTGTTGTTGAAGATGAGTGTGAGACCATTCCTCATGAACTTGCAACATCAGAAACCAGGTCATTGTCTGATTCAAAGTGGTCAAGACCAGTCCATTTCAGCTCACTAATGCCTAAGATGGTAATTTTCACTCTACTTTCAATTATCTTAGATTTATATTCTATACATTCCACACTCTAATTATTAACAGATTTGGGTATCTGCTTCTTTTCCTCTTGATTCTTGCCCCTTCAAAAATGAAAGTCCCAGAAGACTTACTCCATCCTCATAATTATGGTCAAATCGACTTTGAGGAGGCAGTTTCTCTCCCGTCTTATTTTGGGTGACTTACAACCTGAGGAATTCTTCTTCCCGCACTCTATCTGACAGTGTTTCTGGACTATTCATACAATTTTGAGTTGCTAATGAATCAGAATTAAATAGCTTATCTCTTCTGATAGTGACATGAATATCTATTGATAACCATAATAAAAATAAAATTTCTCCCCAGATTTTAAATTTTATTTTTTCTACATATACTATAATAATGTTATTTTTATTATTTACTAAGTGCTTGGATAGAAATCTCAGATTTATCAACAATTTTTCTTCTGTGCTCTCCATATTTTAACTGTGGTAGGAAAGAATGCAATTAAGACTCCATTCATGCTGCTTCCATGTGGGCTTTGTTGCTTCTGGGCTAGATGGCCGCTTGTTTACTTTCAAGACTTTAAGTCCCCAGACGCTATAGGTCTCGATAGCCGGGCACCATCAGCCTTCTTCACCACACTTACTTATGCACACATTCATCTTCAGCGTTTATGCGTGGAAGGTGGTCACACAATGATGGTTTTTGTTATTTGGTGTCTGCTGCCTGTTCCCTTCAGCACGTCGTGTTCGCACAGGCTCATGTGCTTCTTCTCTGTGGACTTTGTTGTTTCTGAGCTAGATGGACCAACATGTGTGATCATGAAGGGCCAAAGGGACCAGGCTTTAAACACCAAAGGCGGGGAGAAAAGTCATATCCTTGTCAATGAGGGTGGCGCGCGATGGAGACCCAATGCCCATCTCTAGACAACTGGACATACCTTGCAGAGCGGGAGTGGGGAGATGAGTTACTTAGGGTACAGTATAGCAATAATGAAACTCACAACCTTCCTCTAGTTCTTGAACGCTTCCTCCCCCCAACTACCAGGACCCCAGTTTCGCCTTGCAGACCTGGTTAGACCAGATGATGCACAGCGGTGCGGATGGGAGTTGGAAGCGCAGGGAATCTAGGACGGAGGAGCCTCTCGGGACCGGGGGCGACGGTGGCGATACCAGGAGGGAAGGGGGAGGTAGCAAGGGGGAATGGATCACAGGGAGCCGCATATGGCCTCCTCTCTGGGGGACGGGCGCAGCGGGGTGGGTGAGGGGAGGCGCCGGACAGTGTAATGTAAGATACAAAAATAATTTATAAATTATTAGGGGTGCATGGGGGAAAGGGGAGGAGGAAGGGAAAGTGGGGGGGAAGGAAAATGAGCGGATTCCGGGAACCCAAGAGGCAAGAGAATTTTGGGAATGATGAGGGCAACAAATGTATAGATGTGCTTTACACAATTGATCTATGTATTGTGATGAATTGTATGAGCCCCAATAAATTGATTAATTAAAAAAAAAAAAGAAACCCTGATACAGGTAGAAAAAAAAAAAAAAGACTCCATTCATATGTTCCAGCAAACAATTTGAAATTACTATCCCATTGTTTTCCTTGCAAATTTTGTACTAACACTCATGAATGGATGTACTCCTGGAAACCACAAATTAGAATTACAATTTGTTTCCTATTATTAAAAGTGGTGGCTAAAATGTAAAATATCTTTTTATATTCAGATTCTGATGGCAAGGAGAAACTTCACATATCTGTACAAATACATCTAACCTAATCATTTGATACATGTATTTTTAAACCGATAGAGAGATATTTTAACATATTCATCTGAATTTCATATGTAAAGAGTAAATTTTCCTTGTTGTTAAGTTTTTATTTTTATGATCCAACACAATTTTAAGGGAAAATAGTAAATTGTAGACTCTTAAATTTCAAACTATAAAAATCTTGAGAATTAGCTTTTTTCTTGCTACTCATATTCAGAAATAACATGTTTTTTTTGAAGTAATACTTACTAAAGTAACTAATCTTAGGGATACAGCACACCTCGTCTCCTTTTCACATTATCTGTGTATATACAAGAACTGTGTATACACGTGAACACATGCATATAGACATACATTTATGTATCTATCTCGTTATCTACATACCTATTTATTGACAAAGGTTGATTTTAAGATATGGAAGAGATTTATTTAACACCTACATCAAAAGGAAGAGGTCTATTTAACATCTACATCTACATGTATACGTGGCTATTGGTATATGGTTATTTATTAATATATAAATCACATGGCCATACCATATTAAGTTGAATAGCAATTTTTTCTTTTTTCTGATTTTCAAGGAAATATATTTACATGATTCTTTCAAGTATATGATATGTCCGCCTCTATAGCAATACACTGATTAGGTGCCCTAGAGAAGTACAAGATTGGGAAGGAAATTTCTGTCTGAAATAAAGAAAAATAAAAAATACATACTCCAGGTATAACAAATGAAATACCATATTGAAAATTTTAGAGTGACTTGCATTCTAGAACTTAATATTTTTAAAATACCTCTATAAATATAATTTTGCATTTTAAAATTATATTTTGCTTAATTGTGATTATCAAAACTATATGGAAATAAAAGAAATAGAAATGCATAAAATAACTATGTTAAATAGAATGAAAATGCATTAAACAAATATATATGTGGACTATTAGAAAACATGCATAAAAGGGAAGGGAAGGGAGGTCATTTTGATTGGAACAGTCTACATAAAAGACATGTATTTTAAATTGTTCATATTTGTGACTGTAATTCAAGACATGACATATTGTCATTTGCTTGTAAAAACTACAATCTTCCTTGCCATTTCCATGAAGGCTTGCTTGACTTGTTGATTCCTTAGACTGTAAATAAAGGGGTTCAACATGGGAGCTACTGAAGTATTTAGCAAAGCTACACCCTTGCTCAAGGATACTCTGTCTTTGGCTGAAGGTTTAATGTACATGAAAATGCAGCTACCGAAAGAGATGGAGATGACAATCATGTGGGAAGAACATGTGGAAAAGGCCTTTGTCCTCTGACTCCTAGAAGGGATTCTCAAAATTGTTCTGATGATAGATACGTAAGACAGAATTATTAAAGTCAAAGTGAACATTAAGGTAAACACAGCACAGGAAAACCCCATCAACTCTAGGAATTTTGTATCAGAACAAGAAAGTTGCAGAAGGGGGAAATAATCACAGGTAAAATGGTCAATGATATTAGAACTACAGTAGTCAAGTTTTAAGACCAACAAGAGTGCAGGGAATATGATTAAGAATGAAGTCAGCCATGAAGAGAAGACCAGCAGTGTACAGACTCTGCGATTCATGATGGTCCCGTAATGCAGGGGTTTGCAGATGGCCACATACCGATCATAGGACATGACAGCCAGAAGGTAAAACTCAGCGACCCCCAAGAGAATTAAAAAAAATAACTGAGCAATGCAATCATTGAAGGAAATAGTTTTATCTCCTGTGATAATGGTGTGCAGGAACTTGGGTATACAAACAGTTGTGAATGAGACTTCCAATAAGGAGAAATTCCTGAGGAAAAAATACATAGGGGTTTGGAGGTGTGCATCTGACAGGGTAAGAGTGACAATGGTCAAGTTCCCTGTGATGCTGAGCACGTAGGTGATGAACAGAAAGATGAAAATCACAATCTGAAGGTTTGGGTCATCTGAAAGTCCCAGGAGGATGAACTCCGTTGTTGCTGTTTGGTTTCTCATTCTTCAGTTGCTCGTTTGTTTCTCTCTTGGCAGATCTATGGAATGAAGCGCCAAGAACACACTGGAAATAAGAGCGCATTGACAGAATACCCATGTGTGAACCTGAACCTTAACAGAGATGGTACACTATTTCACATGTAAGGAAATTTTTGAAACATGTACATAATACCACCATGCTTTGTTTTTCTCTCCTGTATACAGAATGAAAACAAACAAAACCAAACACTTTGCACCTCAGAAAGCTTGATGTAGTACAGGGAAATGAACCCAAGTTTTCTCATTCCAAATCTTACCTGCCAAATTTCAGAGAGACTGGCCACAAGGTTCCAGGCACCCCAAATCACCCCAAGTCATTGCTCTGAATCCAAAGAAGTATTTATCTCTCTCTCTCACTTGCTCCCCCTCAGTGTTTTGGGACAGTTTGCAAGTGTACCATTATGAATGATAAACACCAGTGTGTATGCCAGTGAAATGATTAACTTTCCTCAAAAAGAGGAAGGATAATTTCACATTTCATACAAGTTAATGTTTTATTCTTAGTCACCTATCCAATTTTGCTTTTCCAATTCAATGCCTACTGCCTAATTGAGGTCAGAGAAGTGAAACCTTTGCTTTGACAAACTCAGGCACTAGTGTTAAACTAGTTAAACTAGTGTTAAACTCAGGCACTAGTGTTAAAGGGGAGAAAGTGGTAAATGACAATGGAAAGTGAAACTGGGAATAATTGAGTAAGAAATAATTAATTGTATCTGAATCTCCGGTGATATTTCATGACATCACAGACCATGTAAGGAACACTGGTGTACAAGATCAGCTGTTCAAAGGGCAAGCTGCTCAGAGAGAGAAAGTGGAGGCTTTTTACTCCTCTGAAATTTACAGTCTCAGAAACACCCTGCTGCAGTTCTACGCTGCCCTATGAGTTCACTGTGTCAGGATAGACTTTATGGCAGTGATTTTAATTTTGGGAAGTCTAATTATAACCTTCATTTCTTTACACCCATTTCTCTTTCAGTGTAAAATAGAGTTAAATCAAGTGGGCAGTTTCTGTAGGCTGAATGCAGACAGTGGTTCAGAGAGAGAAAGGCCTTTAAGGTTTTATGCAAGCAAACACTTTGAGGAAATTTCCTCTGTCACATGATTCATAGTGTTAGCCTGTGTTTGCTCAAGTTACAAAACCAGTGGCATTCATATATACATACATATATATATGAAATGTTATATAAGAATGGCATGCATATAAAGGGAGTGGCCCTCAGAACCACAGAGCAGGAAAATTTTAATTCAGCCCAAGGCCAGATGCTAGCTGCAGAACCTGCTCATCTCACAAAGCTGCTGGGCCAAGGGATCAGGAGTATGATATCAGGAAGACGAGATATCAGTCTAGGCAGTGTCCAGTGGATTGAACACATGCAACAGAGCCAGGAGACCCCATAAATGATTGATGACCCAAGTCCCAAGGAACCAGATGCAGAATTGAGGCCAATAGAAGGAAAAAGAGCAAGAGCTAATTCTGCCCCTCATCTATATATACACATGAAATGGGTCGCTACCCTAAGGAAACATCATCAGATTTTGAGTTTAGTGAAAGGTTGCGCTTTTTATAGGTGTAACCAAGTTGACCAATTCCTAATTATTAACACTTGTGAACTTGGCACATGTACCCATCTCTTAATCCATACAAAATCTTTAAACAAAGGCAAAAATGAATTTACTCTTGGGCCTAACATGAGATGATTAATGCACATACAAAAGTAATCAAAATGGACTGGTATTGATACAAATAGATACAAAGATGATAGAGACAATAGACAAATGAATTAGAATTGAAAACCCACAAAGACAGCCAAGTACCTATAGACACCTAATTTTGATAAAGAACAAAAACACTTTAAAATGGCAAGGGATAGCTTTTGCAACACATGGTGCTGGAAAAACTGTATCTTCATCTGCAAAAGAATGAAAGAAGATGCACACCTTATGCCACATACAGAAACAAACTCAAGATGGATCAAAGACCTAAATATAACCCATTCAATTATAAAGACCATCTGTGATAAAATAGCGACAAACTGAAAGACCTTCATATAAGGCATAAACACACTACAGACCACCATGAAAAATATCCACACTTTAGAAGTAAAGAAAAAAAAGAATTGGAACCTACTAAATCCAAACAGAAAATGGACAAAAGATATGAATAGACAATTTACTAAAGATGACAGGCGGGCAGCTAACAACCATATGAAGTAATGTTCACAAGCATTAGCAATAAGAGAAATCAACATGAAATATGCTGATTAAGATGTTAATCATTAATATATTTTTGAGAGAAATTAACTTCAATGTTCAGCAAAACCCTGTGACACTGTGGGCTAAGCATTGGCCGGTAACTGCAACATGGACAGTTCAAACCCACCAGGGGCTCTGAGCCAAACTAAATTCGCTGCCGTCAAGTTGATGCAGACTCACAGTGACATGATAAGACAGGGAAGAATTGCCCCTGAGTTTCTGAGATTCTTTACTGGAGTAGAAAGCCAGGTCTTTCTCCCTGGGCTACAGGGGCAAGTAATGAGGTTGCTGTTTCAATAAAGATATAGTATCTCAGAAATGCTAAAATGTCAGTCTGGCTCAAAATTACATGGCTAGGTGTGTTTCTCTGGGGTTTCAAAACATCTCAAAAATGTGTTTAACTAAGCGAGTATACACTATCTTTAAACTTGTCTTTCAACATTTCAGATTTCTAAGAGCAGATGCTTATTTTTCCCAGACTGCTGAACATGTTTGACCATAATTTACATTTCCTTCCACCCATTTCATTACAATGGTTTCTTACTTACTATCTAAGAATCTTTGGCAGCAGACTGTGAAACCATCAAAATAAAAATTATTGAAATCCATAATGTTGACTAAGTTAGATGAGTGGAAAGGATCTTTGGACATTCATTTTTGAAACACCTTTACATGCTCTGCCAAAATCCCTGCCATCAAATAAATATTACTGGCCACCCTTTAGTACACAAATGACATTTCTTTGATGAACAAGGTGAAAAAGAATTCCATGTTAAATGTCAAATTAGGATTGAAATATCTAAGGGATTTCCTGTTAAAAGTTGAGAAGCATCAGTTATTGTCTCAACGTCGTTTCTGATATTGCTTTACACAAGGAAGAACGCAACTTGGTTATTCAATGAATTTGAAATCTAAATTAAAAAGACAAAACAGAAAACTTCTGCTATATATATTCAGTTCTTTCTTTTTCAGTTAAATCACACTAAAGACCACTAGAAAACGGGAACAAAACAAATCTCCAATTCTATATGTTTTATTGGTCATGTCATCTTAATTCCTTATTGTATTGAACTTTTTGATGTGTTCAGGGTTTAAATTAACATATGAGAAAAGGGGGGAAGTTTAATTCAATGTTATGGGGAATATTTAGCCTCATAAAACCCTAACAAGCACACTCACTGCTTTGGAGGCAATTCTGACACATAGAGACCGACCAAAAGTCTAGGTAGAACTTGCCCTGGGTGATTCCCTTCTCCCTGGCTGGTGGCTTTGAGCTGCTGGCCTCATAGTTAAAACGTACTCAATTATGCCACCAGCATCTTTTCAACATCATAATTAGACACAAATACACACATTTCATATGACTTAATTTTCTCAGTTTTTAAAATAACATGGGTTGATTTGAAAGCTTCCCTCTACCTGAATAAAACAAACCTCTACAGGACATCCTATAAATGCGTGGTACAATTAATTTGTTAGACTTTTTCTCTTCTCTTTTTCATTTTACTATATTTCTTAGTTTTTTCAGAGTACAGACTCTTGGAAAAAGATGAATGATTTCATTTTGTCATTTAAGTAATGTGGTTGATCAAAGCTGACTTAATCGCAGTGTTTAATAAACAGGGTCAATGGAAAATGGAAGTCACCTTAACAATAATTTCAGTACCAAAAACCATCATACATGCGGGAGTTCATGGAGAATATAAACTCTCAAACTCACACATTCCGTTTAGTATTTAGCCATTCATAATTCAATGTATAATTTAAGAAAGAAACAAGGAGATAAGATGAAAAATATCAATCACATTATAGTATCAAGACAATATGAATTTTCGGCTTAAGGTGTTATAATGTCAACTTACTGTCTCCCAAAATAGGTGGACTTTGCATTTAAAGAAACATGGATTAAAATTCAAAGAGTTTACATAATGTGTTTGTGACATTGAATAAGTTACTTAATTTACCTTTTTAAATAAAGTTGAATGATTTTAAAGAAAAATAAAATGTCAAGGGTGTGTTACCATTAAAATAAAAAATCAGAGCACTTTATAAATTATACTGTACTAAATAACTACTTAAAGTTAGCTATTTAACTTTTTTTTATTTAGAATTCTAAACTTTCAGTTTTGAAACAATATTCATATTTGTGAATTATTAAAGGAAATATTTCAGAGAAACACTGTTTTTTAAAAGTCATCTCATTTCATCTTCATAATAATGCTATGAGGATTGTTTCTTTATTTTCAAGTGAGCAAATGATGCTTAGAGAGATTATACAATTAAATATATTCAAATAGCTAGAGATTGTTAAATATAGTATCAGATGACATGAATTTTAATTCTATTCCCATAAACACAGTATTGCATAACCTACATTCAATTCAATACACACATATACAGTAGTTGTCTAGTTGTAATATAGAAGAATTAATAAACTGATACATTAAAATTATACATACTCTCCTGTTATAAAAATATTTTTAGAATATCTAGTTTTTAATAATAAGAATTTATGCTGTTTAATTTAATCAACAGTTGAGCTGATACAAAATCTGTCAGAGTTAAGGAAAGGGAGACTTTCATTGCCTTTCATATGCCCCACTTACCTCTGATATTCATTCAGTTTCACAAACTTGTAAAGTGACTAGAATAGTGAAAATATTTACAAATGCCATTGCTAGAGTCCAGGAAAGCCATCCTGCCAGAAATCA